AAGGGCACACCTTGTGGGGTAATATGCTTTCAATTTATATTTCTGGTTTGTACTTAAGACTGCGATTGATGTTTTGAGCACTATTGGTCCTCCTAAGAACTCTAACAATTGACATTTAGCACTATCAGTTAGTCTTACAATGTAATTTGGGGCTAGAGCAGTCTAGTGATCAGTGTTTAGCACTAACAATTGACCATTTCAACATGGTAACTGAAGCATTTATCACTCACAATTTGTTGTCAGCACTCAGAAGATGGAAGTTTAACTCTTGACTAGCAATTTCTGTTTTTGGCACAAATCACTCCCCATACACACTTCCTTTAATGTTGGGTAGAGCATCTAGAAGGGAAGGGGATGGAAGTCTTTTAGTGTTCCTGAAATGAGTATTTTTTCAACGTTTTGGTATAGAATCATTCATCAGATGACATTTACACTCTTAAACACATTGCTGACTCAGGATATGTTTCAAGTATAATGCTTCAAACATTAAAATCCAGTTTTCATAAACAAGATCTAAGTTTTATTCTAACATGGCTAACCGGTACTGGTACCAATGTGCATGTCACTCTATACTTATATGAAATACCGCTGATCATTACAGTTATGATTTCCTTTGCTTCAAGTAACTGGAGTGCTATTCAGGCTGACCGAAGTGCTAAGTAGTCTCACTAGGACTTAAAAGTCAATTTTAAAATCTGCAACCTACAAAACATACCTGCTTAATCTGCATGCTATTTTGTGTGGCAAAAAATCTTCTGAGGGACTTAAGAATTAGTGGGTTATTATACAAAAAATTAATGAAAAGTAGAATAATATGTCATAAAAGAATTTCTGTGAAGTATGTGATTAGATTTTGAGCCCCACTTGTATTATGTGGCAGAATTGCATAGTATGAGCTAGGCTCTCTAATATTGACATTTTGGAGTCTAAACACATCGAAAGCTGTAATTATTCATTTCGTGTCACTAAATTTTGTGGATTAATGCAACAACAGAAAGAAAAATGTGACATACCCTTTATGGTATATCCTTTAATAACATAAGTTGTAATAAAAAGAACAAAATATAACATTTGCTGTCTGTTGTTCTTGACTATTTGAAATACTCAGTGTACTGCTATTCAAATTTGCCAAATTTTCTGTTTCAAAACATTTCTCTTAATAAAACCTTATGTCTGAAACCAAGTTGTGCCAATGCCATGTTTAAGTTAACCCAAATGAAGTTAGTTT